GAGTCAGTTCACAGCTTATTTATAAACAGAAACTTAACCCAGTGGGAAAAAAAACATTGGAAGAAGCATTTCAAATCACCCAAATTATCCATCTTAATTAACTCATTACACGAAAATGAGACATTCCTCTTACAGTTTCCAAGATTTTGTATTTACGCTGGACTAGTTTTCTTGATCTTACCTAGGACATGAGATATGTTTTACTTCCTAACCAATAGTCAGAGGACTATTGATTTCTTCAGCACTGTTAGTACGGTATGTTTATGGTTGCTATCCCATTTATAATTTGATTTATAAATTAAATAGAAATGTATAATTATGAAATATAGACATACTGGAATAAAAAATAATCATTTTTATCCGAGGAGAAGGCAAGTTTTGGATGTCTGTGGTTCTCAAATGTTCCATTACATCATACTGCAATGTTTATTCATGTATGATTATATATACATATTACATGTGTAAGTATTTTTGTAGAATTGTGTACTCATAGCGGAATCAATCTAGCAGCACTTCAAACCTTTTTGATCATCAAGGTATATTCATTATAGGTTCATCTTGAATGTTTTTTTCTAAGAAATTATACTAATCTAGTCTCCACTTTTAAAACTAGGTTGAAATATTGAATACCTGAAACATCCACCCCCTGGTTTTGACATGTGTGAAGTAAACACTTATGAAAACTAGGCCATAGGGCTGGTTTTCTCTGTGGCACAGCAGAGATTTTATATTTATAATGCTTGTTAGGAAGCACAGTAAGACATTTATATGTCATAATACTACTACGGCTATCAAACAGGATACAAATACATTAGGTTAACGAACATTACATTTTTGTTTATATCTATAATTCTCTATAATTGTGTACATTTATAATTAATGTATTGTGTTCTATCTTAGTGATATTGGATCCTTTATTCTGTGGTTTGCCACTCAACACCGCAGTGCCAATAAAAAATTATCAATACATGATGAAAAAAATAACTGCAATGTTTCCCATTAAGAAATTAGAACATATAGTAACATAATGATTTCATTTTATAATATAAGCTAGGCATACATCATTTTGTAGTGGTTTTGTCTTATTTTCACTGGAAATACCTTGCAAATGTTTAAATGAAGTCATTAAGTTACAAGATATACAAGATATGAAACAATGTGGTATATGTCTCCAATTCCCTGGATTAACAATTAATATGACTTTTTCTTTCATTCAATTATTTCTGATTCTTGGAGATTACCCAGACATGTCCTTGCAGTTTTCTTGGAAACATTTTTCAGAAGTGGTTTACCATTGCCTCTTTCCTAGAGAAAAAATGATTGGCTCAAGGTTACCCAGCTGGTTTGTGCCTAAGGCGGACTACTATAGAACTCACTGTTTCCAGATTTGGACAACTTTCCCAATGTGATGTCATCTAGCTGTTTGGTTTCTCCTGTAGCAATGTTGACTGGGAATTTTGGGAACTGAAGATATAACAACTGGAGCAAGTAAATATATATTTGCAAGGCAGTCCCAGAAAATAATGTGCAAATTGGTTCATACCTTTGCTTATTTTCTTCCACTATTTTTATAAAGCAGAGATTTGTATATCTCAATGGATGGGATGTAAATCACATTCACAAATCACTATTTTACATATTATGTTCAAGGGTTAATTCGTGCACTTTTTTTCTAGATAAAGTTACCTACAAAACATTCAAATGTCCAGTTTCACAGGTGGATTCTTTCCTATTATGCTTTATTCATCATTATTTATCATTATTTTCTTAAATGGCCAACTATCTGATCTAGTCAAACAGGATCAATTCCTCCAAGGTCTGTATGCAAGAAATCTTTTTATATTTATATATATATATAAATATATATATATATGTATATATAGAATATATATGTATGTATGTATGTATGTATGTATTCCCGTGTTTTGGAATTTTCTCCCTACAGAGATTCAATCCACTTCTTCCTTTCTGGATTTCAGGAGAACAGTTAAAATTTGGTTGTTCCATCAAACACAGGAAGAGGGCATGCTGTGACTGAAGTCTTGAATCTGGTGAATATATATATAGTTTTGTGAATTTTCTTTTTTTACATAAGGTTGATATTAAATCTGATTATAATAAGGATAGGCTTTTCTTATGTTATTGAAGGATCTTCTTCTCCTTTCTGTTAGCCACTCATAGTTTTTATGAGTAGCTACATATAAAGTGAATAAATACATAAATATGGGTGTTATTGTAATTGTGCAAGAACAACACAAATCTACCTTGATGCAAATGGATTTCCAAATAATGTATGGGTTGCATATAATTTATATAGCAACATACAGAACACGACATCCTATTGGGTTTGGGTAATATTGATGTCAAATTTGTTTTAGTTATTCTGCTAATGCCAGATATTTATGTATGGGATGAAAAGCTATTTGAAAACTTTTATCTATATGGAAGCAAGCTGTGACCACAAACATATGGTCTTCCATTATGTACAAACAGATCATTTTGGGCAAAACTAGTAGAGAAAATAGATCCAATTTTGTTCCAATCTTATGTTGACAATTATAAATTTATTATGTTCAGTGATCATATTTAAACCTAATTTTAAGAGAAATAGCTCAATAAAAAGATGCTTAAAGATTTACAAGCAGATTGCAGAGAGTGGAAAAAGAGTTGAAAGACTGTAAGAATGAAAATAAAATCTTGCAGAAGATCTGAGATACTTAAAAGGGTATCTCTAAAAATGCTAAATTTACAAAATTATTTAACCATTTAAATGAATAATGAAATATTAAAACACTAATCTAATAACTGATATAGTGTTAAAACAGTTGAATCCTGGCTATATGATAAAAATAAGTTTATACATAAAAGTGGTTAAGATTCTAACATACAATGTCAAATAAGGAAGCTGAACTATATAGTGATTATACAATCCTTTGAATTAACTGCAACAGCAAATTGCACAACATTTTGTGATGCTTCTAGGCTTGATCATTAACTTGTCAGTTAAAGAAGAGAAAAAGTTACTTTGTGGTTTTCTCCTTCCATGCCATCTTCTCTCTTGTCTTTTAGTTAAAATCAAAGTGTAGTATCTATTTTTATCAACTTTAATATCAGTACTTGGTGATGCAACTGAAATGGATATACAGTATATATCTTCTTATGGACTGTGGCATTCTTTAAAAAATGTGCTACCTAATGATTTCATCAGATAAATATTTCTTCTTGTAAAAACTTCAATTTCAGGAAATTAGACTTCAAAGTATTCTATATTCAGCTTTTAAAAGGTATTTTGTATTCCTTCTTTAGATGCTTCTGAATGATGCAATTCAACTACCACACAACGTAGCAAGGAATTCCATAGCCCCAAATCTCAAGATTTTTGTTTTTGTTTTAAAGTAATCATAAATAGATTAGTCATATTGTTTCACTAGAAAGATTGGAACTAAGAATGGTTATATTAAAAGAAATAGCATTGCATTTTAAGATTTAAGCTCAGAATTTGTAGCGAACCCTAAGAAAAATATCCACCAGAAGTCTATAGAGGATAACAGATTACAGAATTGGCTGCATGGTCAATTACTATTAGTGTTAGGACAGTATCTTATCCATTTTTATGGGGAAAAGGTTTGTTGAATAGTTATCAGATAGACATGATGCCAAGTGTCTCAAGTGCTGTGCCTTAAACTGAACTATTGGTCAGTTTCTATTCTATTGGCTATGGGATATATTTTTGATTGTGAAATTCATCATTTGATTAATTGTCAGTTTTACAAACAGAGCATTAATTATCCTTTATTTTTAATAAATTCTATTTTGGAACATACAAAACCTGCCACCCCTGAGGTTGAAAGATAAAGAGTATCTGTGCAGATAAGAACTAGGTGTAGAAGGAAATGTACAGCTTGAATTCAGATCTTCAAGATGCCACGTGGATGTTATATAGTATAACATAACCTTTCTCACATGCTTCAGTCTTTTTTGAAATAGGGATTTTACTTTTATGTATCTTGGAGCTTTTGATAACCTCTTTTTAATTGGACATTTGTAACCAAAAACTGAAGAAGTGTGCTTAACTGAGTATGCTGTGAATTACCTTTTACGAAGCAATTACAAGATCACTTCATCATGAACCACAGCTGTAAAGAGCCTCTGCAAATTGGTGTTTCTATTTTTGTTTTAACAGTGAACACCATATAGCCCATAAAATTCACACTGAGATTAATTTCAGTTGCCTCTGCAGAGAGCGTATCAGTGTGGGATTTAAAACCCCACGTCCGGCCCGGGAGAGAGCAGCTCATTGTGTGAAGGAAAGTGAGGCTCTCTCCCCACCCCTTACCTGCCATATTTTACCCGTACACACAGAAACACACACCCGAGCCTCGAGAAAGGTTATCGCATTCAAGTGCACTTAAAGAGATGAGGCCGGTTCTGTTTTCCGTTTTATACTTCGTCGTTTTAATCGCTCGCGATGGCCATGCACACGTACACGCCGCCCAGCCAGCTGCCTATGCCCTCTTTCTCTTTCTTCTTTTGTTGCTTTGAAAATGCCAGACGGTAAATTGCCTGAGATTTCGACAAGGGAAAAAGGCGAGAGGGAGAGGGAGAGGGAGAGAGGGAGGGGGGCGTGGAGAGAATCAGGTCACCCGGGCGACTGGCTTTGCATTGCAGAGCTTCGGGTGGGAGAAAGGGAGGGGGCGGGAACCCGGCCACTTTGTCAGTTGCAAAGACTGATTTGATGTCCTTGATTGTCATTCGAGGGAACTCCCTTCCCAGCCCCCTCTTCCCGGAACAGTCCGGAGTGGCAGAGAAGGGCTTAGATGGCTGGGTAAAGTGGATGGTTGAGCGAAGCGAGATTACGGAAGCCAACGCAGCCGCGAGCTCGGTGATGGTACCTCGGCAACGCCCACCTGTAATCCCAGACGGCTGATTGGCTGCTGGAGACACCGACCCCGCCTGTCAGCCAATCGGACCGTCAGGGAAAGGCGAGGATGCTCTGCCTCTCCGTGGAGGGATTCCTGGAGTAGCTGCAGAACGGTGATGCTCTGACTCCACTCTGCCCCCCACACAATTGGCTCTCGCGTTCTCTCTCTCTCTCTCTCCCCCTCCTCTTAGCCACCCAGTCAGCAGCAGCTGAAACTTCACCCCCAACATACAAAGCCAGCTCGTAGAGAGCAGGGGAGGGAGGGGGTGCACAGACTTTTCGGGGCGCGGAGAAGAGCTTGCTCGCACCCCTACACTTTTCGCGTCTCCCCCCCCCCGTCCTCCTCCTCCTCCTCCTCTCTTTTTGGAGGAGAGTGTGGTTATCCCTGAAGTCTCTCATCCCAGGAGAGCCGCGCAGAACAAGACAAATCCAACTCGTCGCCCAGACGGGAACGCTGAAGGACAGGCGCCTCCTGCCTCTCCGGTTGCCAGGTAAGGATGCGCTGGGTTACAATTCCTTCGCCTTGTGGCCGGGCTTTGGATCCCGTTTTGTGTCTCCCTCTGTGTGTGTGAGAGAGAGAGAGAAAGAGAGAGAGAGTGAGAGAGAAAAAGCCAGAGAGCGAGCGAGCGCGGTCTATGTGCGCGGGCGCGTACAAACACACGCACCCACACAAATAATATGTAACGAATTTGAGAAATACTGTAGCCCGAGAAAACCAGGGGCAAAGACCGGAGTAGCCTCCCGAAAGGGCAGCGAACGCAGCACATGTTTCTTTCTCCAATACTGGAAAAGCAGTTTCCCCACTGCCTGCTGACTTGAAATCGCTGGGCTGGGTGGATATCTGACAATCTCCACCCACTCTCTTTCGACAAGCCCTCCACCCACCTAGGTTTTCTGTTCTGGAGGAGAAGTCAGCTGGTGGGTGTCATGGGGTGAAATGGAAATGGGGGGGGGCAGAAAAGGAGCGTCGGGGGAGAGGGGTGAGAAATCCTGCCTGCTCTTCAGCGGTAAGGGCCAAAACAGAGTCCGAAGCAAGGAAACTACCAATAAAGCAGTACGCAAAACCTTAGCTTCAGTTGACAGATAGAATTAGCTCCCGAAAGAATCGGCTTCGGATTTGTTTTTGTTCTTGTCTCCCGAGAGCCACAAAGGGGAGAGGGTGGAAATAGGGCGTGCGCAATAAAGAAGTTAATTGCAATTCGTTTTCAAGCATCAGTCTTCTGACTTTACTTTTCTTCTCCTACAAACGATCATTCGGCTAAGAAAGACTTGCACATTCAACAATTTCCAAAAATCAGGTATTCCCCCCCTCCCTCCCTCCCCCATGGTTTGTAGCTCTGGATTTATCTGCATCTTTCTGGATTACTAAGGTTGTTGGCTAGATGCAGATATAGATGTTATTCTTCAGCAGTATTCCCACGGGGTGTGCAAGGCTTTTGTTGCACGGATGATGGTACATGACTGAAGTGGCCGTTTTGAGATTTTTAAAAATGTTTGGTACAGATCTTCCATTAAATATTTTTAGGAGTAGGACAAGGTTTGTAATGTTTAGATTCATGGAAACCTGTTTTTTCTTCAGAGTTCCTCTTGCACTTTTTTCATCAGGGTGATTTATGATCTGATGACATTGTATATTCACCGTGCATTATTATAGTGTGATTTGAAATAAAATGTATATCCACCTTGTTAGAACAAAAAAGTTGAAGGAAACAAGTCAAAACTTTTGGGAATAGGATTTCTGTTTTCCTGGAAAATAACATGCCTCTTGTTTTATTAAAAAGGTGTAAAATCATGTTCTGGAGTACGATACATATATTAAAGGCACACAAAAATGAATCTTTCAACAATCTTTAGTTCATCATCATCTATATGAACTCCTACTGCTATTTATTAAATCTAGCTGAGCGATTTCTATCAGATGGGAAGTGATAAAAAGAAATCCCTGTATAAATTTAGGTGAAAGGCTTTCCAGTAGAATCACAAATGAACAGGAAAAAAGTGACCATAAACTATAGACCAGTATTATCCATTAGAAACCTGCTTAGCATGGGGAATGCTAAGCATTAAAATGTTAATTTTTCTTCCTTTAATATTTACTTAGATCTGGATTACTGGTATATTTTAGCAGCAGTTTCCCCATTTTTTCCCACATACTCTGTGTTTTGTTTGAAAGCCAATCAGCACCATCATTTTAGGTGCTATAACCTATAACTTACCTGTATTTGTGCATTGTGTTTTGAAACTAAGAACAGTCATTCTGATTTTGTGCATGCTTACTTTGTCTTGAATACTTTTAATTAAAATAGTTATGTTTATGTCTAAACTATATTACTACCAAATTACATAGAGGAATTTGGTTGATACAACAGAAATCTTTACAGAGTTAAGAACTATGCAACATTACCAATACAAATATCCAAAATATTCATTAATGTAGCATTTCCCCCATATTTATGTGTTTCTATGCATTCATAATGTTGTAATTGGTGTAGAAAACAAAACCTTTAGGAATTATGAAATGGCTAATAAATACTATGTCTCTTATTAATAAGTAAAATGGATCTGTTCCAGCTGGATAGATGTGTTAATCTGTTGCATGAAAAACAATACAGAGTTTTACAGAGCATATTTATTTGAAGTGTTTAAGTTTGTAATAAGTCTTTATTGTTTAAACCTTGCTTAATTTTATGTTTAGGCATTTATACTTGCTCAGTTCTTTTTTAGTTGTAGATAACATGCTAAGACTTACCGTATATGCCAGTTTTATAAATATTACTGTATTCTCTTATATTGGAATATTTAAAATATATGTGCCTTGAAAATGAAACAAATCCTTTGAATCAGTTACCATACACAATTCATTGAGGCATTTCCTCTAAAATCAGTCAAAGGCTGATTTTAGTGTAAGTTTTCTGAGAATCTATTTGTACCTAGAAAAGCAAATACAGAAAATGTTAAGAAAAAAGTGTCATGAGGCACAGGATAATGGAATTTTCTTGAAAATTATCGTGTAATGCACTTGAAAAAACAATGAAATTCTTCTGTAACCATATTTTAAGTCAAAACAATATAATATTGTACCTTTAAAAAAAGGTTTACTTTTTTAAAAAAAATACTTATTTATCAATAATTGAAGCCAACATGCGGATTCTAATTTTAAAGGCTTCTTCTGAAACTGGAAATTTTATGTCATGTATCACAATCTGGATCTTCTTTCCCATTTAACAAATAAAAATATGTCGTTTAATACATCTGGCATATGGAATATGAAAATTAAAAGTAGGTGAAAAATCATTGGGATGGAAGAATTTTTGACACTAGTATAACTTGTAAAGACAAATATTAGAATCTCGCAGTTAGAGATCTGATGGGTAATGTAAAAGTAGAAAGGTTGCTTTGCTAGAATTATGATAGAAGAATATCCGTATAAGTCTAGTTAGCATAGGAGCATTAACATGGAGGTTAATGGTAGTTGTTTGATTATATAATCACAAAATAAGGATTTAAAGAAATCTCTTAAATGCTCTTTATGGTATTGGGAGTGTGCTATGTTACAGCTTGAAAAATGAAGTTCAAGCACAAACTCAGTTACATGTAACATGTTGGAAAAAAACAGTAAATTAAAAATAATTAGTAATTACATGGAAACAGTCAAAATATTATCTCTAACTTTTGCTATAAAAGTTAGGATATTTATAATAGAGGAATTTTTCAGAAATCATAGCCCAGCTTAAATATTTCAAATCAATGATATATTTGTCCAATATGTTGTACAAATATATTATTTTCAAAGATCTATATATTCATTTATCTTAATGCATAATTATACATGAAACAAAATTATCTTGTTAGTGTTCCCAGCAATTTGTTTGGTTTGAGTATTAGTCTGTATCCAGAAGAGCATAATTAGAAATGCACACAGAAAGCTTTTTGGATAATACTTGGACTTACATGTACTTGTGACATTTATAAAGACTACTTCACCTTAAACAAGCTTAAGTGAGTAAATATAGTACAGTACCGTATTATCTAAACAAATATTTGGGGGTTTTCTATGTATAAAGTAATCTGCATAACTGTAGATGTGGATTTTTTTTAATGCAATGCGCTAGTTAACTGGAGGAGACTTTAAAAGCTTCTAGAAATTTTTCATCTTGTACAAAAAAAGCAACATGTAAAGAAATACGGCATTTACCTAAATATTAAAAAGTGTAGTTTTGTTAATTCTTCAGATGCAACACTAATAGAGATATCACTATTTTTGCTATCTTTATGTTCATCCAGGATTTAGTTGTAAATAAAAAAAGGATCATTGTTACATTTATTAAGAAATATGCCAAAATTTGTTTAAAGGTATTGCAATTTCTTATGGATTTATTAAGAAAAATGGAACATTTCACATGCAAGTTGTTCTGAGTAAGTATTCAATTACGATACAATGATCCTTTTGACGTTTGGCTTTCATAATTTGAAATTGTACTTGAGTTTTTCTTAATTACACAATTCTAAAGATCGTTGGTTATTTCAGTAGAAATTCTACTGATCTTACAAATGCTAGAATATGAAATCTGATGTGTAGGGAAGAAATGTGGTTTTATATTCATTCAGAATTCCAGGGCTTTTTTGACTATCATTTGTATTTTATCAGTCCTATCCATTGGGCTTATCTTCATTTCTCTTCTAAAAGGAGCTTTCTTTTGAATGTATAAATATTAGAAAGTCTCATTCCTGGAAAAAAAATCTTTCTATGCGGTCCTTAGGAATCAACACCAATTTGATGGCAATAATCAGTCGATCATAGCTTTGTTTTATAGATGCAGCACTATTGACTGAAAAGAGAGAAAGAGAAACTAAAAATATTCAATGTGAATACTTGGTGAATTATCAGTGATTTACTACTTACTTTATAACTTTGTCAACTTACTTTGACAATTATTGGGCTTTACATTATAATTGGTTACATTATAATGTAACATATAATAACAACTTGGGAAAAAGTAAGATTAGATTACTGTTAGGGTTATGACACATAACAAAGCAATTACAAAATAGAGCATCACAATATTTATGGTTCATTTAACAGGTCATTTAACAGATTTTGCATATCGATACAGGTAGTCCTTGATTTATTTCCATAATTGGGACAGGACCTTCCATTGCTAAGCAATGTGATCAAGGAGTAGTGCTTGATTTTATTACCTTTTTTGCCATGGTTACAACAGTCATTAAGTGAATCACATGCTTGTTAAGTGAACCTGGCTTCACCATTGACTTTGTTTGTCAAAAGCCCCATGGAAAAGTGACCAATGGGGTTGAGGTGACCTTAGGATTCTGCAATTGTCAAAAATACATGCCAGTTGCCAAGCACCTGAATTTTGATCACATGACCACAGAGATGCTAAGATACTTATAAGTGTGAGGATTGATCATAACTCACTTTTTTCAGTACTGTTATAACTTTGAATGGTCACTAAATCAATGGACATAAAGA